AAATTAATTCACTTAAAATTTAAAACAAGATCAAAATTGACCTTAATAAATTTGCCAGGAGTATATAAACATCAAAATTATTATAAAATATCTTACCTCTTTTAACAATTCAAATTGCACAAAATTCTTTAATTTCCTTATTAAAAAACTTTTATATTACAAAATGTTATCTTATCAAAATTGTTTTTCAGTAAAATACTTAGACTAGAAAGTCTGCGCGTGCTTAATAAATTAAGTCACCAACTTCATAAATAAATTAAATTAAATTAATTATGCTCAAATGCATTATTCATTTTCAATTAGTTTGTTTATCATATATCTATCAATTTATTTTTGAGTTTCCTTATGAAATATCTGGAAAAATAAAACTTCCTGCAACTTAAGTAAACAGCAAAATTTCCTTTAGCAAATTTGCTTAAAAAAATCCCACATTTTATAAATGTTCTGCATGATGCAATATGTTTTATTAAACGAATTTCTTATCAGATAAGAGTAGCTAACATTATATATATCCTATTAGACTGTTTTATGAACTAATTACTAACTCAAATACCTGAGGCATTGGAACTAATTAGCAAATTTTTCGGTTTCAGCATTTATTACTCTTTTTGTTATAATTGCTACAATATAAATTTAAATGAGTTTAGTCATTATTTTTAGCATTGCAACATATTAATTTGATAAAGAAATGTGGTTATATAAATATTATTGCAGCTAATATTTAAATTATCTTTTTTTTGACATAATTGTTATAGTTAAACAAATATCAAAAATAATAGAAAATGTTGTTGTTTTGGTATTTTGTATATAATAAATATGCATATTGTAAAAGTATAACATTTATAGAAATATTATTAAATATTATTGTATATAATAATTATAAATATTATAAAAATATTATACTTCTATAAATATTATTATGTAAACACTATTAAATATTATTCCAGCTAATATTTAAAATATCTTAATTTGACAAAAATATTATAGATAAACTGTAATATATCAAAAATAATAAAAGATATCGCTTTTTTGTATTATGCATATAATAGTTATAAATATTATAAAAATATAGTATTCATATAAATATTGTTGTATATATATGTTATATAAATATAATAAAAAAGGTAATAATTTTTTTAGTAAATATTTGGTAATATAAAGGATTTTCGATTTTTATAATTATCAATATTATAAAAATATAATATTTATATAAACATTATTATATAAATACTATTAAATATTATTGAACAGATTGGCTACATAAATATTATTGCAGCTAATATATAAATTATCTTTATTTTAAATAAACAATAATTTATCAAAAATAATACAAAATATAGCTTTTTGTATTAATCAGAACCTTTTTTGTATTGTTCAATAATTGTTTTGTATTGTTCAAATTTCGTCTGTATTCAAATGAAAATCATAAACTTACTGAAGATTTATAATTTTCGCAATTTTGCCATATTGGTTGATATATGACATCAATACATAAATTTGTTTATTATACATTCTTATGGAATCATCTTCTTACGTTAAAGAATTTAATTGCTTTTGTTTTATTGTCAATTTTTCTTGACACAAATTGGACAATCGCTCTGTAAAAAGGCTAATAATTCAGTACAATAAGCTTTAAAATCTCTTTGTATTTTAACACAAATTGATAAATCATTTTGTGAAATGATAATAATTTACTTAAAAGGCCTTTAGCATGTTTTTTTGCAAATAAAACAAATTGATTTATTGCTTTTGGGAAAAAGATAGTAATTTAGTAAATGGGTCTTTAAATTTCTGCATTTAAAAAAAATACGTCAATTGTTTTGTTACATGAATAATAATTTACCAAAATTAGTATGTTTTGTTTGTTTGTAATTTAGTTTGTTTTTAAATTAGAAAACTATATAAAATATTCAAGTAAAATTAGAATTTAAATCAGGACTGATCAGCTGTCTCTTTTTTTTAAAAATAATCACGATTTTTATTTTTTATATATATTTTTTTTATTTTATTTTATAATTACGATAATGAAATATATAAGTCGCACTTTTAATTTACAATCGCAAAATCTCTAATTTAACTAAAAAGGCATAATAAATAAAATACCACCTTACTACTATTCGAAGACTATTTAAGTACAGTGTAATATTAACGTTAGATTAAAATATCACACATTTGCCTGTTTACTTTTTTTTTTAATTTTGTGATAGCTTCATTTTAAAAACAAAATTTGTAGTAAATGTCGCCGTTTGTTTATGCAACTGGATCTGGGTGTGGTCAAGCCCTAAGAACACATATTTCAAAACACATCACTTTAATTACAAGCGCACAAGCACGAGCACAACACACCACAAAGATTAATAAACAACAGACATTTAAAGTGATATACTTATATTAAAGCGGGGACTGAATGGCCGAGTAGCTAGCGCTCTGGCACTCAGTACCACAGGTTTCGGGTTCGAGTCCCGGCGGTGCCATGGATGTCTGTAGTGGTTCAAAATCCACTTTAAAAAGTAGGTCCCGGTCTAATAGGATCGTAGAGCGTTGCGGGAGCATTGTTACTCCGCGTCCGTGGCTTATCTTCAAGTGACACGCGCCTCCTGGGTCATGCAAAGTGAGTACGTCTGTGCAACGCTTGCTTTAAGGCATCCAAGACGTCCATGTCTGTGTTTGCCAGCTGCATTAGAAAAAAAAATGTAGCACACAAATGTACATGGTAGTTTTTTATTTTATAAATCGGTGAATTTTAAATTCTAGAACTACTATTTTGAAGATTCAAAATGGTTAGTTTTTATCCTTTAGTTATTAGCATGGCAATTACTTCGATATTGTTGTTGTGTCTAACCCTCAGTGTTCTACGGTGCAGGACGGATATCCCATGAGTAATCTACTCATGGATAGAGGAAAAACGGCAGTTTCTGTTGAGATAGAGCAGCCGTAGGTAGAAGTCTGACTTAGCTCCATGACGCTGAAGAAAGAAAACAGTGCCTTCCGGGAGGAGGAACTATCTCGCATGTGCCTATCGTATGGAAGAAAACCTGGAAAAATCCCACCAAATAGTCTGACGAACGAGGCAAGATACTGAACGTCACAAACGCCATCAAATCTCCTCGTTTTTTGAAACAGTGTCTACAGCAAAGCCAGAGGATTGAATCTCCGCCCTAATACTCACCATCGGCTTACGTTGCCACTAGTCGGGGATAATTTTGATGTAAACAATACTATCAGAGATTTCAACAATATTAAGATACAGACACAAAGCAAGGCGGAGAACAGTTAATGTTAAATTTAATGTCGGTTGTTAACCAAGCATAAATGTTAAATTAGCTTTGAATGATAATAAAGCATCAATGCTACATTAGATTTATTATGGATTGAATTTTTTATTTTATTTTTTCATTAAATCTAAATTGCAAAATATAAGCAGCAAGTGATTGTAACTTTATCTTGTTGAAGCATGTTTCGCAAACTATTTTTAATTTCGAATTTTATTACTGAAATTAACAACTAATGAATGCACTGGGACCTGATGGCCAAGTGGCTAGCATTAAGGCGCTCGGTACCACAGGTTTCGGGTTCGAGTCCCGGGCCCGTGACTTGGATGTTTGTAGTGGTTCGGATTGTTTGTTTGGTTTGTCACTCTACGGTCATCTTCTGCACACGAGGACTAAACAGACCGGGGCCTACAGTTTAAAGTGGATTCCGAACCACTCACAAACATCCATGCCACCACCAGGATTTGAACTTGGAGCTTGTGGTACCAAAGGCCAGAGCTCTAGCCAATTGGCCATCAAGCCACTGTAGGGGTTCAGAATTCACTTTAAAACGTAGATCCCAGTCTAATAGGATCGTTAAGCGTTGTGGGGGTAGTGTAACTCGCGTTCGTAGCATATCTTCAAACTACACGTGTCCCCTAAAAGTGCTAAATGAGTAACACGGATGCAGCCTTACTTATGGCATAAAGATTAACTCTCTCTGTATTGCCAGCTGCATTACAAAAAAAATGAAATTACTAAAGTCAGAAATAAACTAGTTTAAAATTTCCCTATTCTCTGGGTTTTTTACTGAATTAATAATATACTTTTATCTTTAAATTGAGGGTACGAACAGTGGTATAGGTTTTATATGGTAAACAGTAACGATAAAAAATTTGTATCTTTAAATTTAATGCAAATGGCAAATTTTTGTCTGGGTTATAATTGAAATTGAAGAATTGATATCCGTATAACAGTTCTAAATTTGCATCAGTATCTAAATTAAATGTCTTTTTGACATTTCAAAATAAGTCTCATTCTTTCTAACAATATCGGAAGTCTTTAACTAAAAGGTTATCAACTCATCAACAACAGACGTGCACTGCTTCTTCTATGTAAGAAGATAAAAACGTAATCAACATGTGGATCTTGTGTCAACCGCAAGTCTGCACGTGTTGAAGCACGCGCATTTTGGGTTGTCTACTGGTTTAAAAAAATAAAATGCGTCTTTATTTAAATTATTCGTTAAACAAAGGAATTCCTAATTATCTGCGATATCTTTCATTTTTGTTAATAATTTTTACTCGTTTATGGTATCCAACTACATTATAAAGGTCAATTTTCGATTGTATTGGGCAGCAATTATTATTATTAATATTATTATTATTATTTTCTTCACATTTATGTCCCTAAAACCGTGGAAGTCAAGGTCATGATGTAGGGCAACAAATTTTTTGCAGAGGAATTGTATATTATATTATGTTATATTGTTTGTTGTTGTTGTTTCTTATCCCACTTGGCTGGCCAAGCCCACGAGCCCTGACGTGCTCATGATTGAAGGGGAAGGCAGCATGTTGTGATGGAGCACCCGTAGGTAAAACTTTTGCTCCGTGACGCTCTTACAGTCATAGGAGACTGGGACCTACAGCTTAAATGGATTCCGAACCACTACAAACATCCATGGCAATTCAAACCTTGGCACCGAGCGCCAGAGCGCAATTGCAGACACTCGGCCATTCAGGTCCCAAAAACGGCACGTGGTGTTCCCAGGTGGTCACCCACCCAAGTACTGACCGCGCCCAATGATGCTTGACTTCGGTGATCTAACGAATGTTATATTGTATATATATATATATATATATATATAACGAAAGAAGTAAAATGCCATGAAACATATTTCATTTAATTACATTATAAAACATTTTTATTGTAGAAATGGATTAAAAATTAATTGACTTTAATTCAAAAATCAATTAAAAGTAAATTAAAATTAAATTGACACGTCTTTTGTTAATATATTTATTCGTCTTTTGTCAATTTAGGTTATAAATTTGTTAATATAATGGAAGCAATCTTACTATATTAATCTTAATTCTTATAAAATTTTGACTAAAATACTTCTTACCTTATTTTGACTATAATTGAAGAATAATTTTAGTTAAAGGGAAATGCCAAGAATTTGTTATTAGTAAATATGAAACATGATCCATTTAAATCCGTAATGCTTGTTTGTCTTAGGAGATTTGGTACACATGTTAAGATCACCTACTTTAATGTATGTTATAGTAGTAGTAGTGCAAAGTAGTTTAGCCTCCACTTCTGGTAGACGGAAGGTACATCTAGTTTCCGGGTGTATCAATCAGCTGGTGGTTACCAGACTCTATGGTTTGGAACTGCTTAAGGATTCAAGTGATGGACCGCTTTCGGGCCACCTCGTTAAAGGTGGGGGTCGCCTCAGGGAAGTTATCATAATGGTATAGGTCCTTTTCTCAGAAACTAGACGAGTCATAGTATTTTTATGTATATTAAAAATGCTTTAATTCTAATTTAATCTGAATTTAAAATTTGGGAATTTTTTTTTTTTTTTTTTTTTTTTTTTTTTTTAATCATTAAAAAAAATCATTGAAATTATATCCAAAATAAAAAACACAAAACATTATGATGGCCCATCTAAGAAAGTCAGCCAATCAAAAGTTAGATTGGACAAGTGGTCAAGATTTTGAATGGCTTGGAGTTCTAAATATTTAGTTATCCCGCTATAATTACTGTGAATTTCAAGGCACCTTGAACATAGAAAAGCATGACTATGTATGTCTCGTTCAGGTCAATGACAACAATGTATATCTATAAATCAATATATCTCTATAAACAATGTATACTCTACAAGAATCTCCCAACGTATATCTATAAATCAATGTATCTCTATAAACAATGTATACTCTACAACTCTCTAGCAACCTGATGGCCAAGTGACTAGCGTTCTGGCCTTTGGTATCACAGACTTCAGAGTACTAGCGGTGGCATGGGTTTGTTAGTGGTTCGGAATCCACTTTAAAATGTAGGTCCCGGTCTGTTTAGCCTCGTGTGCACAAGATTACTGTAAAACAACAACCAAAGCAGATCTACAACAATCTCCCAATGTATCTCTATATATCAATGTATTTCTATAAAAATGTATAACTCTACAACAATCTCTCATTGTATTTCTGTGTATCTCTACAAACTCTTATTAAATGTGTTTGCATTGTATTTTTTTACCATGATATTTCAATCGTTATTAAAAGTCGTTTTTCTTTTTATTTACCAGGGTGTTTTAACCGGAGAGACGGAAAACAACAACGCAAAATGGACGCTGACAGCCATGGAGAAGTACATGCGGGACGAAAGCGAAGCCAGCGTGGCTTTGGGACTGGTGTCCCAGCCGCCGCCGACCAACAACGCGGCCTACAACAAGCGCGGCAAACCCCCCACCATGGCTGCTCAGCAACAACAACAGCAACAGCACAACGCCATGCCGAACGGCGATGCCCAAGAGAGCGCTGGGGAGGAGACCAGCCCGTCCTGGGCCTCCAGCAGCACTGGGAACACCCCCTCCTTCGGCAGCAGTGGCGTCACGTTCGAATTCAATGAAGAAAACGATAAGGCGGCACCCATCATCACTACAACCACCTGCACCCCCCATTCGACACCAGAGAAGGGTCACAGGAGGAGTTCTGGAGCGACTGTCACCCTTTCGTCGAGTTCTGATTTGTTGGAAGCCTTGGATTCTGGACTGGAACTGTCTCTCAGCAAGTCGAGGAAATCTCGGAAGGATTCTGACAGCAGCATGAAGGGCAACATGAAGACGTCTGGATCTCACGGGGGCACTCCCACCAAGACCAGTAAACTCAGCAAATTGCTGAGGCGGACACATAGTGCTGGATGTTCCAAAGATGTGGCCAATCAAAGTTCGTTCTTGAAGGAGAAGGCGGTGAGTTAGTGGATTGCTTAAATTCTGCATGTAATTTGTGATTTTAGGAAGGAAATTGATGTGATGGTAGTTGGAGAGGCGTCACTGATATTTTAAAATTTTCTCTGTAATGTTATTTGCTTGTAAATTTTAATAAATCATATATGCAGCAAGTTTAGTCAGACCAGCTACCTGGTGGGACAGATTGAAATAGGGCTGTTTAAGAAAGTTAAATTCAGAAGTTGCAATAAATATAATTTTAATTTTTAATAATTAAAATTTAACTGTTAAATTTTTTTCCATTCAAAATAGTATCGCGCTACTTATAACTGACTAGCTCCCTTAACAAATATTCGATTCGTCCATTTCCTTTGTTTACTTTTTCACTATATACCAGGTTGAACATTATACAGCTATTCTTGAAGAATTATTATACAGCAGTATGCAGCCATTATTATTAGAACAGTATACAGCTATTCTTGAAGAATTATTATACAGCAGTATGCAGCCATTATTATTAGAACAGTATACAGCTATTCTTGAAGAATTATTATACAGCAGTATGCAGCCATTATTATTAGAACAGTATACAGCTATTCTTGAAGAATTATTATACAGCAGTATGCAGCCATTATTATTAGAACAGTATACAGCTATTCCTGAAGAATTATTATACAGCTATTATTATTAGAACTTATTATTAGGACAGTATATAGCTATTCCTGAAGAATTATTATTAGAATAGTATACAACTATTCCAAATATTTTAGAAGAATTATTTTATGAAAATAATATTGAAAATGTCTCCCCTTTCTTTATAAACTCAATTTGAACCTGTCTCAACATGTAATATCAATTCATCCAAAATATTTGGACAATTTTTGTAAAATTTTCCTTTTTAGTAACCCAGAGGGAAAAAATGGGATATAAAATTATAAAATTGATTCATTGTATTTGTCTAAATGAATCAGCCTGTACTTTTTCTTTTTATGACAAAGGCGTCGAATATATGATTGATGGTAAGCAAGTGCACGAATCGTGCCATCTAAAGAAATAATTCTAAAGTTGGAATTATTATACTTTTTTTTCTGTATTTCAATAAAGCATCTTTCTTTTATGTAACCGTACTACAGTTATTTAAAATCTTAGTAAAGAAAGCATATTTATTTAATTTGGCTTAAACTATGAAATATCAACAAAATGTCGACAAAGTCAATAAAAAAACAACAGCAGATTCAAATAATTGCTTCTCTAGTTCATATAATCATACATGGGATTAATTATTAAATTAATTCTTTAATGTAGCACATCACAGTTGCATAATATTAACGAACAAAGACAATATCAAAACAACCATATTTTCAATTCTGTATCACTACAACTAGAATTTCAGTCCAGAAAAACGAAACAGGTATGAGGGGAAATTTCCTAATGGAGTCGCATCTCTTCACTTCGCTTCACAAGTTAAGTTGTAAGATTCGGTGTCACAATAAAATACAATCTCAGAAAATTCTATTTTGTATCAATTTTCATTTTATACATTTCAATTTCATACATAGCATTAACGAACAAATACCATCGCAGTTTCAAATTTGTATCATTACAACTAGAATTGCAGTGCTGAAAAACGGAACAGGTATGAGGGGAAATTTCCTAATGGAGTCACATCTCTTCACTTCGTTTCACACTCTAAGTTGTACGATTTGGTGTAGCACTAGAATATATCTCAGAAAATTCTATTCCGTAATAATTTTCTTTTTTGAATTTCTTCTTCATCTTCATTAGAACAACAACCCCATGATGGGCCAATGCATTCTGCCAACTGGCAGATTTCGAGACAAGAGATGTTTTCATTTTATGGGGTCACAGTTACATAACATTAACGAACAAGAAAATACAACCACAGTTTCAAATTTGCATCACTACAACTATAATTTCATAGTTGCACAACACTAACGAACAAACAAATACAACTAAACATGCATTTAGTATCATAACTTCAAATGCGTTCTCTTAAACTAATCGAGTGTTGCATTTATAATGTATAAGTGTGTTCTAATGTATTTCAGTAGTATAGTATATTCCGTTCTAATGTATTTCAGAAGTATAGTATATTGCTTTCTAATGTATTTCATTAGTGTAGTATGTTAAGTACATTATATGTCGTTCTAGCAGTCAACGGCCACATCACAAGATCAATTGTTAATCACTTAGTATTATAACAACTTCAAATGCGTTTTCTTTAATGAACGAACTCTTGGGAATGCTTAAACTAATACATATCTGTCGTTCCAGTTCGTACGACTTCAAATAAAAACCTCCTGTATTTGAAAATAAAATAGAATTGCATCTAAAAATATTATAAACCTGATAACTGATTCATTATTGTATTTGCAAATTAGGTGACAAAGGCTAATGTCCCATAACTTCTTTGTTTATTATATGAAAAGAATTCACAAAATTATCCTTATATAATGTGTAAAAGTGAACCCAAAAAAATTTAAATATAATGTTCAAAAAGCGAGAAAACAAAAGGTTGAGGTTAAACGGTAGGCCCATTATTCAGTAACAATATTTATAAAGAACGTATCTTTCATGTCAAAATTAAAATTAATTAATTTTTTTCTCTTACTGATAGCTCAAACTACACTCATGTCCATAAATTAAGGATAATGAAGTTCAGGCAAAGAAAGAGACAGACGCAAAACAAATTTGACTTATTTGTAAAGTCTATTTATTAAACAAAAGGTAAAGAGCAAAAAAGATGTTTGACATAATTAATAAAAATTGCGATTTTTACTCCCTGGAGCAAATTTCAAAAAAGAACCTATTTACTAAAAACTGTATAACATGGTTAGTATGATGGTTAATATGGAGTAT